GAAAGGTCTCACTGGTCTTTAGAGCAGCACCCACAGAATGGCCCATCTCTGGTTTTATTTAACTAAGATGCAGCCAGTTTCTGAAGAACAGCATAGCCATCTTTTATTCCCCTTGAATTATTTCTAAGTGTAAGAGAAAGCAAAACAGAGATACACAACAAAACATAAGCACACTGAAATCTCTGCGAATATGAAACTTAGTACATAAAATGGAAAAGCTACAATCTCAACACTCATCATATCTAGGCCATTCTTATTCAATATATCTAACAGCAATTAAGTCCTGACTAAAGTTGCAATAAAATTAATGTCCCACAGAAGTCCCAGTTTTTAATTTCCGTTTGCTACTAAATGAAATCAAAACAATTCTTTGTTCCAGGACACCAGCCACCAACTCTGTATGAAAAACATGGGTCAGGTTTTTGTTGCTGCTTTTCAGGTATGTGGAATAAGTGAAGAAACGCCACTGATCCTCAAAAATCCCCTGCCTGACCCCACACATTTTTTAAAAAAAAAAAAAAAAAAAGTACCACAGCAGAAAGGTTTCCATAATGTTTCTAAATAGAAATTGAATTTGCATTCTTTTAGAATTACAATGAGAACACCAAAAATCATGTCAACCAGTACCACTGTACCATAGTAGTATTAACATCTACACGAATCTACAAGAAGGGCCAGAAAGAGGATCCAGGGAACTACAGGCCTGTCAGTCTGACCTTGGTGCTGGGGACGGTTATGGAGCAGATCATCTTGGGTGCCACCACACAGCACATACAGGATGTTCGAATCAGGTGACCAGGCCCAGTCAGCAGATGCCAATGAAAGGCAGGTGCTGCTTGACTTAACCTGATCTCCTTCTATGACAAGGTGACCTGCTTAGCAGATGAGGAAAAGGCTGTGGATGTTGTTTATCTGGACTTCAGTAAAGCCTCTGACACCATTTCCCACAGCATTCTGCTGGAGAAACAGTGCACTCTTTGCTGGGTAAAAAACTGGCTGGATGGCCGGGCCCAAAGAGGTACATATACATACAGATTCAGCAAGGCCAAGGGCCGGGTCCTGCACTTGGGTCACAACCACCCCATGCAGCGCTACAGGCTGGGGGATGAGTGGCTGGAAAGCTGCCCGGCAGAAAAGGACCTGGGGGTGCTGGTCAACAG